AACTTTTAATTACCTAGATTTTAACTATTTCATCATGATAAAATTAAAATACAAAAAGGCAGTTTTATTGGCTTTTACTGAATAAACCATTAATTAAGTAATCAAATTGCCAAGTCCGTAATTTAAAGCGAAAATAATTTCAGTAATATCAAAAATTTCAGTAATATAAAAAAAATTTTTTCTTTTTATTTCTAATGTAATTTTGCTCAATAAAATTGCTTAAATAGATTTCGTTGAAATCAAAATATTTCAATTTTTCTATTTCACTATTTTCTTTTCGAAAAAAAAAATGAATGATATTTTCTAGCAAAAGAATGATTTGTTCGTTTTGAATACAAATGGATACAACCGAAGGAAGTTCAAGGCTTGGTCTGAAGGTTTTTTTTTTTTTTTAATTTATTATTTACAACATATCTAATCTACGGTATAAATTACAGCATATTAAATTTACAGTATAAGTTACAATATATACAATTTTTTAACAATATACGCAACAATATATGAAATTTACAATATATACGATAATATACATACCATACAGTACAATCCGCAATGTATCGATCTACAGTAACAAAAATGAATGTTATTCATTGTGTTATAAAAAGTATTTCAATAATATCATAAGAAAAGAATTTAATGTAGGAAAGATTTTGTGATTTTTTTATTGTTCTAACTCCGCTACGCTGATAGAAACCTTTATTGGGCTTATACAAAATGGTGTAATATCGACTGAAACAATAATAGAAACGAAATGAACAATACACAATAAGTGTTAAAGGATATTAAATTCGCTCGTTCTGTTGAACTGTCGAATTGCCGCTTCTCTGCGTTGAACCGTTGTCGTGGTTCACCGTTGTTGTGGTTCACCGTTGTTGTGGTTCACCGTTGTCGTGGTTCAGTGTCTGGCTACGTTTGTTGCCTTGAATCCTTACGCGAGTTGCCCGATTGTGATTGAGTACCTCAGGGTGCTGTCGGATTGCGTAACTGCGGAAGTTATAGGATTGAGTAGTGACTGTTCCAGCTTTCTAGATTTTGTAACTGATCGTCTGATGATCGATCCTACGTCCTTTTATAATGAGAATGGTTTAACATTCCGGATACATTAGCTTAATTATCAGATTGGACATTCTTTACAAGATTTCGACATTTACATGTAAGTTTACAATATCCCGATAATTGCATGTAAACTTGGTTAACAGATTGGAAAAAATTTACAACAGAAGACTTTTTCTGCAACGTTTAAACATTGCAATTATGATTGCTTCAAAACATTGAAAGGGTTGGATTCGAATAAGTGACCCATTACTTTAGATATCGAAATATTTATTTTATCAATTTTATGTAACGAATCATTTATCTGAGAAATATTCTGAATCCTAATTAAAACAACTCGTAATATTTTTTCAGCTTTGCCGATATTTATATCATTAGTGATCAATATGTCATCGTTCTCAATTTAAGAATTGTTGTCGTTTTTCTCTGCTAAGATTGAATTATTCACAGGAAAAAAGAGAAAAAAAACAAAAAAAATTGAAATTCATTGGAGAAAAAAGACGCGACAGAAAAGACACAACTTTAAATCACATATATTCGATCAATATTTCCATTTCCAATAAACTTCTTGATATAAAGGTCTTTTTTTGCACCAAAAAGTTTATTGGAAACTAGTTTTTTTAACTCCTTTGTTAACTATTTTTAACTCTTAGGAGCTATTTCGGCTATTTTTTAACTCTTATTTTTTTGGAACTATTTCTTAACTCTTGTTGTTAACAAAAATTCATCCCACTCCTTATCTTTCCCTTTTTTAATTTAATCTATCAATTCATTTGTTTCGGATACTTTTGCTCATAGATGTCATCATAGCCTTTATCACCATCCTATCACTCCTTTACTTTCATTCAAATGCTTATAAGACTTTCCATATTTAATGCTTATGCTTTTTGAGCTAAAAATATTCCTTCCATTTTGAAATCGTGGAATCTTCAAAGTTTCACGAACTTTTCCTTTACTCAATAAATTTGGAAGCAGTGTTTAAGAATGAATATGGAGTGTGAACAAATGATTTGATAAAATCACTCAGTATATATAAATCAATAGTATGGATTATGAAAAATATAGCAATGCAGTTTTTCCCTCTCTCTAATATTGCCTCAGTTTTGAAAGTTTTGAAGAACTGAAGCGAAATAAAACAAAATCGAACAAAAAAATTTGGGCAGCTTTGCATAAATTAATTTTTACAATGCAATAGAACAGCTAAAATGAAATTATTCAATATAAAAGATTAAACAGCCACTGCTACAATTGCATTATTACACGTGAACATAGATTATGAACAGATAGTCTGCCACTCCCATTTGGACGAATATTTATACAGATGATATTGAACAATACCTAACAGAAGTGACTGGTCGTTTGTGTCAAACTCTCTTCCACGAATTTTATCCGGTAAGATCTATTTCATTTATTTCGATAAAGAATGTCATCTGCTTTTCAATGTATCACGTTATGAGAGATTTCGGAATTTCACGACGAATCTTAAATAAGCATTTTTTTTAAAACAAATTGTCTTTTTATTAAATGTGTATATTG